CGGCGCGGAGCTCATCGCGCCCCGCCGCGCTCCGCACCACGAGGCCGCCAGCAGCGCCTCGCGCCCGCGAGGGACCGTTAAACGGTTAGAGGGCGGGGCGCGCAGAGCGAGCCGCGGCGGACSGGTCCATGTTGATGGCTGCGGGGGGAGAGGGAGGAAACGGCGTGGGTCGCGAAGGGAGAAGGAGTCTGCGGCGGCTTTGGTTGGAGCCTTTSGTTGGAGCCTTCTGCTGGGAATGCGCGGAGGCGCCGCACGGGCGAGGCTGGGATACGCGGGGTCCCGAGAGCTCCAACCGCCTACCRGTTTCCCCTCTACTGCTTGCGGTGGTTGCGCTCCAGGCCGCCTGCGCGGGCAGGGGGCCGCGGGGTAGCAGCAGTCCCTCTGGGCTTAGCTGGGATTGGCTGGAGCAGGAGTCAGGGGGCGGGGCATTGGGGCTGGACAAGGCGGCTATTGGCTACTGCGGTGTGAGGGCGGGGCGGGTCGCGGCGTTGTTGCCGGGGCGGGGGGGGGGGTGTCTCTGAGGAGATGGCGGTTGTTGCCTCTTGTCCTTTCGGTGGTCCCAGCTGAAAAGAGTCTGTCACCATCCTCGTCACAGCCGCCATTAAGATATCTGCGTACACTACTTAGATCCCCTCCCGGCTTTTTCCTCTCCAGGCTGAGCAGGCCCAGCATTCTCAGCTTTTCCTCACAGTGGAGGTGCTGCAGTCCCTATTTCATTTTCCTAGCCCTGTGCTGATCTCTCTGATCATTCCATGCCCTTCTCTTACAGGGAGCCCAGAAGGGGCCTTAACACCCCCTGCGAAGGCTGCAGGCCTCATTTCACCTTTTGAGTCTACACTGTCTCCATTTAAGGCGTCCCTAAGTCACGGGATACCTGACCCTGGCCTGGTCGGCCACCCTCAGCATGGGAAAGGTGACACTTGACCAAAGGACACCAGGGCCTTGTGCTCCCCTGTCTACGGACAGAGCAGCCCTGGGCAGCACCTTGAGGGTCTTCATGAAGCAGCTCACACGGGTGCTCTGCATGGTACTCCCTCCAGTTTCCTTTGACTGTCCCCCCTTTTAATCCATATCCTTTGCTGTGCCCTGAAATCTGACTTCTCCCCGAAGTTCTTCTCCCTGATTTTGCCCCTTCTTCCCAGGCAGGCATTCCTGGGAAGTTTCAAAGTAAGTGCAGGCATGAGGAAGACTCAAACCCAGGGTTTTCAAAGAGCCATTCTTATTTCACTGGATAGTCTGCTCCACGAACCTTAGGAGCCATCCTAGACCAAATTCTTCATCCCTGAAAYTGAAGCTAGTTAGTCCAAATAAATATGGCCTTCTGTGGTTGGAAGACATCTTCCAACCTTAACCATTCTGTGATTCTGTGACATTTCTGCTTGAAAAAAACAGGAATTACAAAACACTAAAAAGAAATGTAACAAGTGGCAGTATCTGCAATTCAAATTATTTATTTATTGAAAAAAGCACTAGGCATTGGCACTSTAATGAGTCACTTTAGTGATTTATAGTCAAAAAAGAGATAATCAGCAGTTAAAACAGCTTTTCCCTAAAACATTTTTTAAATTGCTTTTTTTAAAGTGAGGCACTTCTACATATCCATTGTCAGGGCTATCTGAGTAACAGGATTTCAGGCAGCACCACTCAGGTTATAACTGAAGCAGCAGCTTTGCCTGCCGATTTATAACTGCTGGTGACAATGTGCAAGAGAGAAAGAACTTAGATTAGTTTCTCAAGCTGACAAACAGAAAAAAAAAAGAAAAAGAAAAAATAAACATTTTGACTTCCTGGTAATTGGGGAATGAATTTGTACACACTTTTTTTTTTTTCCAGACTAGAATCACATTCACAATTCAACACAATACCCAAAACACATGCAGCCCCAACAGATCGACCCATCTACCAGATCTATCTATAATAAAAGTGCATAAGTGCAGTCAAGACGAGACACCCAACCTCTATTTAATACTAAACTGGCACACTGGAAATTCTAGTTGGCTAAGACTAGTCTAAAGGTAATTTCCAGCCTTTACTTAGGCAGCTGAGCCTTGTACAACTCTGTCATTCCTAGATACTGCTAGATAAACACTAGTTTTGTTGTCAGCTCACTACTTTATCTTTGCTGTTGGGCTGTATTCTTTCCTCATGATTGCCAGAGATAAGCCTAGTAACAATACCTGTAGTCCCGTTGCCTATGAAATGCAGAAAGCTTTAGGTTTTAGAAAATCTCTTTGTGTATTCAAACATGTTTAGAAAGGAAATATTACAACTGTGCTTCCACTTAGATTTCAGAGAGGCAGCCAGAGCAACCACAGAAAAGTGGTGCATGGATTACCCATGTGCAAGGCCAGTACTGAGGCCATCGGAAGACAAGTAGTTCAGCTTTGTCCTGTGGACAGCATGTGTATTGCCAGCTATTTTAGTGGGTTTTAAAGTGAATTAGGCTTTCGATTGCCAGGAACAAGAGTGAATTTCACTCATGAATATGCACAGAGTAGTATTCAAATGCTTGAATGAAGAGGGTCGACAGTCTTGGGGAATTCAGATGAACAGAGGCCCTTCCACTTACGGAGCAAAACATGCTTGAAATCAGATCAACTGCTTTTATTCTTTCAGTATTTAGCACTCCCTGCTTGATTTGCTGAAACATCAAACTAGAGAGAGGTAGTTCTATATATATACAAACGTAACAAAAAATGCCTAATTGATTTTATGGTGCTCACGGGTGCCCACTGCTTAGCCATAAAAGATGTTCAAAGCTGCATTGTTCAACTTACTCCTGCCCTTGATTTTAGGAACCATCTCTATATGAAAAATAAAAACAGTGTTATAATCTACTTCCTTGGTCCTTTTTTTTTTTTTTACCTCTGTTCATTCTTCCATAATGCTGATGCTTATGCTTGCTGCAGATTGAAATACTATTTTTGTGAATTTTATCCTGCGGATAACTTAAATTTCAGATAACAGTCTCTCAAGTAAACAGTGCCATTAGATCACGGCTAGTCCTACATGTCATATTAGGCTAGACCTAGTACATGCCATATTACTACCGGTCTCCTAAAGAGCTAGTTCACTGTGGGGTGGGGGTGCTTTGTCATATGAGAATTAAGCTTTTTGGTTCTTCTTTGTTTTCTGATGTGGTATTGATGTGGTTTCAAGATTTTAGAAAGAACTAACTCCGCAGATCCKTCTGATTTGTTCATACGTTAGCCAGAATACCAGTGACCAAGGTGCCTGTGAAAGCAGTCGCAGAAGTTAGAACCTTGAAACAGAAGTGACCGAATGCATAAATACAGTATAATAAAATGGATTTGTCTGTACTTAAAAATCATATTCTCCAGCACAATCTCATATTATGTCTTCCATGCAAAAACTGTAGTGTTGTATATGATTAGGACTGTCCAATCCTTCACAAGAGACATAAAATTTTTTTTTCAGGCTCCCAACCTGTAAATGTTTGAGCTGAAATGTTTCATGCTTCTTAAGTTTCTTTCGAAAATTCTACTTGATCTAAAACTGGAATCAGAATGTTACATWCTTTTTCCTGCATAAAATATATTTCCTACATAATTACAGTTTAGAAGCCCTGCTGTGGTTTTGGAGGAATAAATGAGTATTTGGCAAAGGCTCTCTCATGTCTAGGAAATACTTTTTCCTGCTTCTCTGAATGCAGAGGAAAATGCAGACTTAAGCTGCTGGCTTAAATATAAGAGGGGCAAAAAGGAGATCAAGGGAGAAGAATGAAGAAATTCTTGGAGAGAAAGAAGATGGAAAGAATGTAGTAGCAGCAAGACAGAAACAACAAAAATAGAATATCCTGAGAGAGACAGAAAAGATTGGGGAAAGGAGAAAGGAAGGAACATGATATTGTGTAAAAAGCAAAGAAAATATCTAGCAATTAAGCAGGAGAGCATTTTCCAAACTAAAAGGGTGCAAAAGGCAACCTAGGGTAGTGGCAATGTAGGAGCTGTTTCATTCACTACATTCAAATACACTAACTGCAATTAAATAGAATATCCTGAGAGAAAGCCAGTAGTTTGGAAATGCCAACCCAGGAGGAATTCTTTATATTTTAATGTCATGTTGCACAACTATCTAATTGTAAACAGAGTTGAAAGGCATTTACCATTCGCATCCAGGTTGGTACAAAGCCTTTGTATAGAGACATAAACCCTTCACCCTGTACTGTTTGAATCAAGCAGTCCATGGAAGACTTGTACAGCAGACCTCTAGCAACATGCAAGGAGGAAAAATGATGTTAGGATTACAAATACACACTTAAAATCCCACCAACCTGGAAAAAAAAAAATCTCTGTCAGATAAATTCATAGAAATAATTTCACTGAAATCACTTGAGTTTAATCAGAACTGAATTCCACCTAATTTACTAAGCTTGGGTGATGATTACAACAGAAATCTCCTGGATATGCAAAATGAAAATAGTGAAAATAGCAAAAAGATAAAAAAGGAGAACAGATTAGAGATTTAGCACTTGGACTGCTTTCCAGTCCAATCAATGGGGCTCAGGGTTGAAACTTTTTAATGAAAAGTCAGCCTTTGAAATGTGCTCACCTTCCCTGGCAGTCCCTTGGTTGGTTCATTATCCTGGTTTTCACTACATCAGCAGGAGTTCCCAGAACGGCAGCAACCAGGCCAGAACATGCACTATTAATAACAACAGATACTTAAAGATAAAAAAAAAAAAAAAAAAAACTGAAGTTTATCACTACAATTTAAGCATCATTATTCTAAAAATATAAATTATAAAATCATGAATAATAACCTCATAACTTAATGGAAGCTTGATATA